AGTCACGCAGGTTTATTCTTTTCATTTGTTTCTTGGAGTAATTCAGTTTCTTCTGTGTTCCGCTCTTGATGTCTTTCAGCGGAGTATGGAGGGATTCTGGAAGTCCGTGGCACGTGTCGTTCCCAGAGAGCCAGAAGACATACGGATCCTGAACCCGTATTTCATCCAGGAAGCGGCCTTCAAATTCATCGGCTTTCCAAACAACAATGGCCTCATGGGAAGAGGGGTGAGGAGCAAACACTGAATAAATATTGAAGCAGTCAATCCAAAACATACCGTAATAGTCTGAAAAACTTTTAAAACTTTCTCCTCTTTGAAAAAGACCAGAGGCCAGTTGCATAAACACAGCCTATGTCTTAGGAACTAAGAACTTTTCGTATTCAAATTAGCCCAGTCTCTGTTTTATTTACGAATCTGTAAATGATCTGATTCATTTACAAGACTGATTCACTGTAACCGTATATTTTCTGATTGTTACTGCAAATTGGCTTTTAACAAAATATTTTATGAAAACAAACATAACATTTGCATATGTGAAAAATGTACAAACGTGTATTTAAAAATTATTATAGAATAAAAATGTGCTTAAAATATACGCACAAATACATACTCCCCTGGTTTCACAGACCAGGCTTAAGGCTAGTCCCAGACTAAAATGCATGTGTGAGCCGTCTCAACTGAAAATATCTTACTCTGGCATATCTTTAAAAAATATATGTATACACTGTATATGTATACATATATGAAAACAAATGTTATGTATATATTTAAGCATTTTATGAAGTATTTCTGAACATTTTATGGAAAATGATGACATGCATTCCAAAAAATAATATATGTGTATATATATATAGAGAGAGAGAAAGGGAGAATTATTAATAATATAATTGTATTTTTGACCTCTTTACCATTGCACAAGAAGTCACTCTTGCAATTTCAACAAAACCTCATCTATGATAGCCAGATAGATACTTTAAGATGATTTTCCCTTAAAGTGTACAGACTGACGAACAAGCAAACAAACAAATAAATGAATAAATCTATTTATGTACATGATCAAAATGTACTGAAATGATCCTAAACTCTCTCACACTGGCCCCGGGTCAGTGGGTCATCCTTATTGTTGAGCCCTCTGAGATGATGTTGAAATGAAGTGATGGACTGTCACATCTCCACCTGATCCAGAGACTGTTTGCGCTCTGCTGCTATGGAGATGCGGTTCGAGGGGCTTGAGCTGTGATGTGTTTCCTGTTATCAGCATGCAGGCGGAGTGTCTGGGGCCGGATTAGTCCAGAGAGTGTCTCTCTGTGGTGATAAGACTTTCACATTGAGACTTGTCTCTCCAGCCTCAGTGGATCAGGTGGTGACTGGATGATCCCTCTCTGCTGATACACACACACACACCCCGCTCTGTCTGTGTCTCTGATAAAGTCAGTCACACGGTGCATTATCTGTACTGAAGTGTGTGAGCAGTGCACTCGACTACCCTGAGTGTCCAGTCCATCCATGGCTGTTCAGCATTTGCTCGACTCATTTCATCTGTTCTTTTCACTGTGCTGTGTAGTATGAATTAAAGCATATAGTGATGAATTAAAACTTGTTTTATTACTAATAGAAAATGACTACTTGAGTACAAATGTATTTCATGTTCAAACAGACATTTTGCAGTTGAATACTTTGTTGCATTGCTTTTGTGCAAACAATATTGTTGTAAATACAAACTACATGCGTTATAGAGATGACTGATTTTTAAATGTATCATTCTTTTAAGACAGTTCTTTTCAGTGAATCGTTGAACATTTGGTTTATACAATTTTTCTGAATGGCTCATTTACGAATCTGTCTGAATCAGATTTGTAAGTGAATCACAGATCATTTACAGATTTGTAAAAAATTTTTGCATCACTATAACTATAGTTTCTGGTTATTACTTTAAATTTTCACCAGTTGCACCCCCCTAAGGACGGCCCTGTATATATGTGTGTTTAAAAATGTTTGTTTTGTATATAAAATAAAAGTAGATAGTTTATATTAAGCACATTTTTGTTTCTTATTTACTATTTTTAAATACCGAAATTCTATTATTTTTCACATATAAATGTAATGTTTTCCATAAAACATTTTCTTAAAAGACCATTTGCAGTAATAACCATAAACTCTATTATTATTATTATTATATATTTTTTTTTCTTAAACTTGAGGTTCTATGAATGTGTCTTTAACTACATACTCAAGTATGACTGTTGGGTATTTTATACGCTGTGACGGAACACTTATCGACATGCAGTACTAAAAGTGTTTGGTTTTTCCAGAATATTCCTACATTGGGGACTGTTGCGATTACGATGGCTCTTCATAGCTGTGATGAGGTGGCGGTGGCCGGATTTGGATATGACATGAACACACCTCACGTACCTCTGCACTACTATGAGAAACTCATGATGTCTGCAATCAAAGAGGTAAGAGCACCACACTGACCTGCTCTGAAGGATTTCTCTCTAACTCTTACAGAACTAGTGAGCTGCATTTAAAAGCAATGTTTGGCCCCTGGGATTGATTTTCATTTTTACCATTGAACACCATTATTAGATATTACACTCTTTGAATTAAAAGGAGATTTTCACAGTGATGCCATAGAACCATTTTTTGTTTGCCAAAGGACCTCTCAGTGAACAGTTCTTAAAAGAACCATCTTTTCTTCGTGTGAAGAACATTTTAATATTGTGAAGGACCTTTTTTCCACTCTAAATAACCTTTTGTGCAAATTGAAAGGTTCCATGGAGAATCTTTATTTTGTTTGTATGACATGTTTGATAGCAGATAATGACCGAGAAATTCAGTGGCATATTTTAAATATCTGGAGGATTTTTGTCATTTTCAGGGGCTTTTTTGCTCTGAAACCTGATTAATTTCTGAACACTGTCTTATCATAGTTAACAGAAATGTCCTAGTTTTGGTATGTAAGATGAGTGTAGTGTAAATGTAAATTTGTAAATGTGTCTGAAGTACATCCGCGATGTCCGCTCGCTGGTTGATGATCTTTGGGAATATCCCGTCCGTTGAGTCACGTCCACAAACAGGTCACATGACCTCACACTGCTCTCTGTTCCAGGAACATGCAGAAACCTGAGAGGTCAGAGTAATGAGTCTGAGCTGTGTGTGTGTGTGTTCTTCTTTCAGTGCTGAGGAAACTACTTTGAGACTGTAGCTTTGCCAAGCTACTAGTAAAGTGAAGCAGTCAGATACTACAAGATACTAACAGGGTTCAACAATAAGGATTTATTTCTGATGGTCTAGTCAGGCCAGTAGTTCCTTTGTGTGTGTGTCAAGAGATTTAAAAAAAAAGATTATATTGATGACAAATCAGCAGAATATGCAAAAAACAATGTCAAGTCAGCTTTATTTCTATAGCACTTCATACAATATAGATGGTTTTCTTCAAAACAGCTTCACAGTATTAAACAGGGAAGTAACAGAATCAGTGATGCAAACTTCAAAAATGAAGCAAAATAAGATTCTGCTCTAAAGCAGCTTTAAAAAGACAGTAGTTCATCCACTATAAAACGAGTTCAATTCAGGAATGTTCAGTACATCACAGAAAATCAAACCTTTAACCCTCATAATGCATTCGATCCATTTTGACCTGGAAGAGATACATATTTAGTAAGAGAATGAAACTTACAAATGCTTAAAGACCCTCAATATACCCATATTTTTATTTCATTTTATTTATTTATTTTCTGATTTTGTTATTGATTTTGTTTTTTTTTAAGAGAGAGAAAACCATTAAAAAAATATTCGGGTCACTTTGGACCCGAGTGTGTATGGCGTACCATTAGGTGTTAAAAATATTTTTGTAAAAGCATCTATAAGTTATATTAGTGTCACAAAAATATTGTAAAATATATGTAGCCTTTTTATCTATATCTCGCACAGTTTTGGAGCTGAATTTAGTTTTTAAACATGAATATGTACACCTATTTACAAACCATTCCTGCATGAAAAATTGACCACTTTTTTAATCTGAAAATGAACATTTATGCAAGTAAATGTATTTGTTTGTTTATTTATTGCTAGTAAATATGTATGTTTCATAAATATGGACTGTTTTGAGCAATCATGAGTTAAATTCAAAGGAATTTAATTCAATTCCATTAATTCCGATAGGGGTAATACTGGTATTCCTCAGATTATATGTTCTTGTACAATAATATATTCAAATAAAATTTCTCATCAGTATAACAATACTTCAGGTCCAAACAGATGTGTAATGAGATAATAGATTTTGAATGCAATATGAGGGTTACGTTTGCCAAGCATAAAAATGCATGTACAAGATTACATTTTCAGTGGCATCGAAGCACTGGCCTAAAAGAATAAAATAGGTAGCAAACCCAATATTGGCTTTTATGATGCAACGTAAAATACTTATCCAAAGTGTTGTGGGAAACTGACCTATTTCATGTTTGTTTTTTGTTTTGTAATTAGAAGATATATTTTATGTTTTATCTAAAGGATGATTCAACTTGGATGGCAAATCAGTAGATGGCACTGTATTTCACAGTGACTTGTCATTTTCTCTCTTTAACTAGAAGAGCACCTCTGTTGTTGCACATGTTTACTTTAGGTGGACCGTCCGAACCGCTTTTGTGGCTTGTGAAATCAAAGGCAAGCTGCATGTGCACACGTCATAGCTCTTTTAAACGCAGCACGTGACCAGCTTCTGATGAGCGTTTACCCTATTGTGCTCTTTCTGTTTCTCTCTTTTTCTCACACACACCCAGTCATGGACGCACAACATATCCAAAGAGAAAGAGTTTCTCCGAAAGCTGGTGAAGGGGGGCATCATCCGGGACCTGACCAACGGGATCTGACGTCACGTCCCCGTCATGCAGCGGGTAGATAGTATTCACCATATCACTGGTGACCAGCATCCCAGCCGATGGACTCACACTAACTCGAGCCGTCAAACGTCCAGAGATGTTTGAGCCAATCGCATGATGCCGCCGGAGGAAGTGACCTCACCTCATATGCTGGACGGTATCCATGGCAACCTCACCTCAAACATGGTAATGCTTGTTTTAAGATGCCACCTAGGCGAGAAAGAGTTCGTCCCTGTGCGCCACGGCGGGCGCCCGGCAGAGACTGGAAGCGTGCTGCTTTCTCCTGTTTTTTTATTCCACTGTATTCCATATTTATTAGACAGTATTTTGATCTCGTCTTTAAGATGCTTTATTTTTTAAGCTGTGTCAGCTTGATTGCTTTAATAATGTTCTCTTCAATCTCAGGCTATGCACAACAGCACACAACTGTTGATTTTCTGCTGCTCTTCTGACGTGTGCCATTTAAAGGGGTCATATGATGCGATTTCAAGTTTTCCTTTCTCTTTGGAGTGTTACAAGCTGTTCGTGAATAGATAAGATCCCTAAAGTTGCAAAGACTAAAGTCTCAAACCCAAAGAGATATTCTTTATAAAAGTTAAGACTAATTAAATAATTGTACACCATTTTGAATCGAGTTTTAATATTTTATTAGCTAAACAAACGCAAAGCTTCCAACAAGAAAAAATAGTTCAAGCAAGAGTACAGCGCCGGCTGCTGTTACCCGGATGAGCCTGTGTTATCAGCTTTTACCGGTTGTTATCGAGGGATAGCATACCTCGGAATGTCACGACTGACCAATCAGAATCAAGTATTCCACAGAGCCGTGTAATAAGACCCCTTTAATCAATCAGCATCCACTTGTTTCCTGCGCCTTTCACATGTATATCCATCTCTGTGTATAACCAGGTCATGAGACCAGGCGGATTAAAGTATTATCAAGATCTCTACATTCAGTCTGAAATGGGCTTTTCTTTTGAACTGTGAACTGATGTGTAAGGGACCGTTCACACAGAACGTGTTTTTCCATTCCAATGCGCTACTTTTCCATTGTTTTTCTATGTAAGCACGCACTAGATGGACGTATATGACCATTACGCTTGTGTCTCATGTCTTTTGCAGCATCTCGCACATGAGTGCTGCTTTTTTAAAAGAATTTCAACTTTTACATGCAGCGCCGCTCATCAATGTCAGTTCCAAAACAGTGGACCAATCCGAAGACCCCGGAGGCGGGGCAAGCATCGCTAGCTTTTATTTACAGCTGCAAGTTGGCATGGTAACTGTTTTATTTGATGGCAACATGGCAGAGAAAGCATTCTATTCTGCGCTTTTTTCTAAAGCATTCCTAAGTGCTGCGTCTCGTGTTTTTAGATTCAAAGATGCGTTCTGTGTGAACGGCCCCCTAATAACGCAGAAGAATTGTATGTTATAGTAGAACTTCAGTGAGTGATGTGTTGGTAGCAGATTACATTTGTTGGTACCAATGCGAATCAAATTACATGATTCTCTACCACCTATAAAATAAGTGTTTTAATAATTAAATTAAAATAATGGCATGTAGTCTTCAAGTATTTCTAAATTATGTAAATTTTATTTCACATTTTTGAAGTACTAGTTTCTAGTTAAAGAACAACAGCTTTTCTCCATATATGGTAATTGATTTTAATGGACTTATTGTGAGCTGCAAAGTTGTTAATTGATGATATATTATTTCAACTTAGTTTTTAAATAATCACATTTAACAGGGTAATTCCTGAGGTGAAAACTACATTACCCATGATTCTGCAAAGAAATCGAAAGAATTATATATATATAAATGTGTATTTTGCAATAAACTTAAAATATATTTTTATGGATTAAATCAACAACTTTAAATTAATAGGTTAATATTTATAACACTATTGTAATAGTTTTATTTTAAAACACTTTTAAAGTTATAGTATAGCACTTTTATTTATATAATAGTATATACAACATATAATTTAATAAATATTTATATAACACAATTTCAGATTGTTTCAAAGCTGCTTCACATTAATAAAGAGGAAAATAAGAGTGTTAATGTTGTAAAATTCGTCAGTTATGAACAAATTTCTCCTATAAAGCAGCTCTACAGATAAAACAAAATAGTGTCATTATTCAGCTAAAGACATAAATTCTAATTAAATTTAAACTTAAATTCAGCTTAAGTGGAAAAAATACTTCCGGAACCAAGGCCGCTGAATTGGACAGGCATTATTTCATTTAATTAGTCATATTGAAAAGGCAAGCTTTGCCACTCTTTCAGCACTCTTGTTATGCTGCTCGACCAATCAGATTCAAGAACTGGATCTAACTGCTTTATATAATTCTCACCTAAACACATTTGTCATTGACTTGTGTTCATTCCACTGTTACATGATTGGAAAACATCAGCACCCGTTTATGGAAAGCTCATGTTTAGCATTTAAACTTCCACCTGATCAACCTGCCTTTTTTTTTTTTGGTTCAGTGTCACATGATCTTCAGAAATCATTCTAATATACTGATTTGCTGCTCAAGAAACATTTCCTATTATTATCAATGTTTAAAACAGTTGTGCTGCTTCATATTTTTGTAGAAACTTTTTTTTGTGATGAATAGGAAGTTCAAAAGAACAGCATTTATTTGGAATAGAAATGTTTTATTATAATTATAATATTATAATATCAATTATTATAATGTTGTAAATGTGTTTACTGTCTGTTTTGATCAATTTAAAGCATCCTTACTGAATTTGTATTTATTTTTTGGAGAGAAAAAAATCTGAAATTGTAGTGTATATGAGATTTTTTTTAAATACAGGATTTCATTATAAAGCCATTTTCTCTACATTTGTAATTGAACTGCATTACTGCCACTTTCATGGCGTATTCCTACCAGTTAAGAATGAGGAAACAGTGTCCATATAATGCTGGGTTAATGAAATGCTGGGTTAAAAAAACTTTTTCTAACATCTTAAGTGGATCAAAACTTTTTTGAAAACTCTTTCATTTATGTCCTGCCTCCAAATGTTTTTGCTTCAGCAAACGCTGTCCTTGAGATTCTTTCAGGCTTGTAACATTTTCATTGATACAGTGACCAGACGACTGGATGCTTCATGGCTGAATGTACACTGGGAAAAAATCAGTAAAGAACTGGCCAAAATCCACTGTAAAAACAGTGCTTTTTTAATGTTTGTTTACGTTATTAAGGAACGTTGTATGTTATAAGTGTTTCCAGATGTCTTTTAATCACCGTGTTAACAGTGAAATGTGGAATGTAAATCTTGCGAACAGGCATTTACAGATGAATAGCGTGGCTGTGTGGTGTACAGGGCCGCGCGGCTGGGATGCCTTGCCTTCAACCTGCTGCGCTTCATGTGCTCTGAGTGCAGTGAGTGTGAGATCACAGACAGTTGAGCTATGGACACAACGGGCAGTTGTCTCCTATTTAAAGACAATCCTTGACCTGAGGGTGCAGCGAGGTTTGGGAGCTGGAGAAGTGAATGGAGGGCTGGAACAGGTGCGTCTGTCCATGTAGGTGGGCCTTCGTGACACGGCTGTGATGGAGAGGTCACATCCTGACAGCTTCACACTCGGCGGAGCAGAGTCGAGCAGGGTTTGGTTACAGTTGCACTGTGTTTCTGAGCTCCGCCTGTGAAGAATCACTCCGCTTTGGGTTTATTCTTCCCGACAGGTCATCCACTCGCACCCTCTCTTTAGACGTCCAACAGAAAACACAGCTAGGGCAGCTTCCGCACCGTCAAATGAAGCATTTTAATGCCCTTGCGCTCAGTGAGAGTTCAAGCAGTAAAAAGAGTTTCAGTGTGGGTTGTGTTTCCTACAGCAGACGTTTTCAAACTGGGCTCTGCAGAAAATTGAAGTGGAAAAAAAAAAGACTCATGAAACACATTTAATGCAAACTTATTTTTTTTGCACATTTAGCTAATTTTATATTATCGGTTCATTTTGCTTTCTAGAGACTGGCTTTAAATCATGAGATTAATTCTGATTATTCTATGTAGATTTGAATGACTGCGATTGGTAGAACATCCATATTTAATGTGATTTTGTACACGTTTGAACTGGAGGTACTAACCCCAAACTTTTGAATGGCAGTGTACTTTTTTTTTTTTTTTTTACCAAATCGTGGGTTATTATAGTTAATATGGCCACGTTTCTCATTTTCAAGTAGTTTAACTTAATGTGCTAAAATAAAATAAAACTATGTAAACTTTAACTAAAATGAAAACACAAAACTAATTCAAAATTCAATACTATAATAGTATTTCAGTGATAATAAATAACATTGGAATAAACCCATAACTCCATAATAATAACCATCTAAAATAAAATAAAAATGAAACTTACCATAAAGTATTTTTTTAGCATGTAACTCGTCCTGCAGCATTTGTGCTCCAGACTTGAATGCCTCCTCAAGCTGTGCTGTTACTTTACTAAGCAGAACTGCTAGTTTTGTCTCCTGCAGTGGTGAGGCTTGGAGGAGTGATTTAGCAGCTTGACCTGAACCACAGGAGTCTGATGCTGAAGCCGTGGGCCTGCAGTGACCACCCAGGACCTCCAGCGCTCCTCTGCATGCAGGGCTCAGGAGGTCAGTCTGGGATGATCACAGTCCCGTTCTGAGCCAGTGTTTTCTTCTGCTCAAGAACTTCCTCACAATAGACAGCAGAGTGAGAGCCGGTCTCAGTGGGACATCTGGACACACATGAAGGACTCGGGGACTCGGGGCAAAGGTCGAGCTCTGAGGGCATCAGCGTAGGACCTGTGCTGAATGCCAACCTCAGTCCTCTGGTGATGTAATGTTGCATTTTGATTTCTTCCGACAGTATGCACCTTATTCTGCAACACTGAAGAAAGCTGTTTTCTGGGAATGTGTGAGACTTCCCAAACATTAGCTGCTATAGGTAACTAGAAGAATAACAAAGTGCAGTAAAAGGTCAAATTATTTGCTCTACAAAGCAGTGTGTGTCTGATTATGACAATACATTAAAATAATATGATCACAAATATCAGTTTGCAATATTGTAGATGCATAATGGGCTTTTTTGCGCTGACATTTTTTTTTTCATTCATCCAATTAAGGGCAAGTAATTTATTTTTCATTGGCTCAAGTTAAAAATTATTGCTGTGAATCATTACCCTAAATCTTTTTAATTGGATGAATGAAACATTTTTTTTCAGTGTGTACAGCTAAGACGCGAATGACAATATATGCAAAATATATGTTGTAAATAGGGAATCTCAATTAAATGTATTTTTGAAACTGAAAATATGTTTAGTTTTTCAGCTTCCAGAAGAGATCAGATGTGCTAAAACATTAGTCACATTTAAATGCAGACTCAAAACTCATCTGTTTAGCTGTGCATTCATTGAATGAGCACTGTGCGATGTCCGAACTGATTGCACTATATTCTATGTATAATCGTTTTCTTAAATTCATTTTAAACTTCTTAAATCAATTGTTTTAATCATTTTCAATGTTTTTAAATTCCTTGTTTTATTGTTGTGATTTTTTTTTTTCTTTTCTTTTATGTAAAGCACTTTGAATTACCATTGTGTATGAAATGTGCTATACAAATAAACTTGCCTTGCCTTGCCTTGCCTTGCCTTGCCTTGCCTAGTTTCAACCTTCATATACCAAATTTTATATGTATTTATATAGAAGGAAGAAAATAAATTTCCAATTTTACATGCTTCAAGGTTATTATAATTAAAAAAAAAATCTTTGTTGCTTGAAATAAAATAAACTTTCAAATAAAATCTAAAAAGCTTTTTTATTTAAGCTAGATTCAAACAACAGTTCTCATATTAATTTTAACTTGATATAAAATAAGACTAAAATTGAAATCAAAATTAATCAATATAAATGCACAAAAAATGCACAACAATTACTAAAATGTTAACTAAAATTAAATAGAAAATTGACAAATAAAAGCTGATTCAAAATAGTAATAAAAATGACAAGTATCTCAATAATACTAAAATTACACTATGTTTGCATGAGTTTTATAGACAACATATGAAGTTTTTCTTCAAATGCGACAGGTCAATGTATTTTCTTGGATTGAAATACATGGATGGCAAAATATATTTTTAATGCTTTTAAAAAAAAATACATTTATATTTTTATAATATGTTTTCAAAGATATACAAAAACTGGCTGAAAATATATATTGGTAGAAAATATATTTATGTTTTTGTTGTTGTTGTTTTGTATATTTTGAAATATATTTGAAAATATATGTTTTCAGTATGGGCCATGTCTTATGTTAAAAATAAGGTGTATAGTGCTCCGTTTGGGCTCGAGCCATAGTGTGCTTTAGATTGATGGCGTTGGTCAACACATGCAATTTCATACTGGCTCAGACGCAGCATATCTCATATGTTATTTATTTCCCTAGCCATTTATTAATGTAAATTATTCTTTCATTGCCCTCACAAGAGTAAAAAGAGTGTAAAATTCTGGCTCCTAATGTTGGCACACTTTGTCAAAATATACCAAATCGAAGGACTTTCTTGTGGAAAAACAGCACGCTTTTTCTTTTAATTAGCTTGATGTTATCCAGACTGGACTTTTTTAGGAGAACTTTGAATTGTGCAAACACGCAGTCTGGCTTCCTGAGCGAGCTCCATCACATCTGTCTGAACGCGGCTCGGCTCCGGCTCTGTGATCGCACTACGGGGACCGAGTTTCCCTCACACTCGGAGATCTTACAAGCGAAGCGCTTTGTTTTCGCAGCTGAAGAGCGTATCCTTGAATATATATCACTTTGACAGAAGCCGACCGGAGTGAATGAGTATTGAAATCAAATCATATTCGTCATTAGTCCGCTTTCACGGTCTGCTTTATTGTCAGAGACAGCGCTCGGGAACATGCAGTGTGAAACCAGCCAGCAGCTGCTTTTCATTCAAAGCCACTTGAGTTACTGCGCCGTGCTCTTCATTAGATTATCACTGAATTAACAAAGTATAAATGTCTTTGAATCAATATCAAACCAAGTTGCTTTTGTGTAAATGAATAATAGCACATATCTGTCCCTGCAAAACATTTCTCGAAGAGAAGTTTATTAGCTGAAATGAATAAAAACAGTACAGTTTAACATGTAGATTAGGATATATTGGGACACTTCCCAATTGTCCATAGTTAATGTGATTCTCTACACCTGTAAGAACTTGAGAACTGACTTCATTCACCCCTAAAAAAAATTCATAAACGGTTGATTAAAAGAGCAAAAATGATAAGTGAAGTTGGTGAAGAGAAAAGATCCTGCAACATGGTTTGATATTTTCTGACATTTTTTTTATTTGACTAATGAAAAAGATTTGATTTTATTTTAATTGAATTTATTTTTAAAAAATTATTATAGACATTTCAAGGATGACCAATGCAAAAAATATATATTTTATTGAAAAAAGCTGAAATGAATAAAAACAGTACAGTTTAACATGTAGATTAGGATATATTGGGACACTTCCCAATTGTCCATAGTTAATGTGATTCTCTACACCTGTAAGAACTTGAGAACTGACTTCATTCACCCCTAAAAAAAATTCATAAACGGTTGATTAAAAGAGCAAAAATGATAAGTGAAGTTGGTGAAGAGAAAAGATCCTGCAACATGGTTTGATTTTTTCTGACATTTTTTTTATTTGACTAATGAAAAAGATTTTATTTTATTTTAATTGAATTTATTTTAAAACAATTATTATAGACATTTCAAGGATGACCAATGCAAAAAAAAAAATTTTTTTTTTTTAAATCTTATTTTTTTATTTAAAATGTTTGATTATGGATATTTTTTTATGTGTGTTAAGGAAGTCCAAAAATATTTTATTTTATTTATAATTTTATTTTATAATTTTATTTTATTTTGGGGGGATATCACAATAACGTGCAGAGTATTAGAAAGATATACTATTATAAATAATATATTATACTGTTATACCATTTAATATAGAGCCTATACAATTTACACAATATACACAATATAATGTTATAATAAACCAACAAAATTAGAAAGTAAATATGAGTAAATGTAATAAATTAAATTGTTGAATGACAATTTACACAATATTCACAGTGAAAAAAAATACCTATTGCACATGCTTTGTAACGATAACAAAAGTTCAGATATAATGCAGTGTGTGTGTGTGTGTGTGTGTGTGTGTGAAGGCAGGGTTTGTCACTTTAG